GATGATGTAGATACAGCTTTTGAAAATTCGTTGTGTAATGGGTGGTGAGTGTCTGAGAGTTATTTGGCGCTGAAGCTTTCACATGCTTGTAGGTGTCTGTCTATGATAGAATCGGCGAGTTTATCCCTGAAAATGCCACTACCTTGAGAGCTGTTTCAGAGATCTCGCCAGTAAATAAGAGTATTTCTCCAACATGCCGGGACAAATTACTAGGGACTAAAAGAACCAGTGGGGTAGCGTGCATGCATTCACAACTTTGTTTGTTGCGCTACCGATGTTCTTTTTGTAGAGATCGTCGTTTTATTCACGATCCCATGGAGGTTGACAAGTGGATAGAGTCTATCAAGACTTGTAAATACCTACCTGAAAATGAACTTCGTAAATTGTGCAACTTCGTTAGTGAGTTGCTCATTGAAGAGTGCAATGTGCAGCCGGTCAGCTTCCCGGTGACCATTTGTGGCGATATTCATGGCCAGTTCTACGATCTCCTCCAGCTGTTTCGAACTGGTGGAGAGCTTCCGGATACGAATTATATATTCATGGGAGATTTTGTTGATAGAGGATATTATAGCTTGGAGACCCTCACCTTACTCCTCGCCCTGAAGGCGAAGTATCCAGATAGAATCACACTTCTCCGAGGCAATCATGAAAGCAGACAAGTCACACAGTGCTATGGATTTTACGACGAATGCATTAACAAATATGGCAATGCGAATCCCTGGCATCATTGCTGCAAAGTGTTTGATTTATTCACTATTGCTGCTCTGGTCGAAGAATCCGTCTTGTGTTTTCACGGTGGCCTTTCTCCAGAAATAAAAACTCTGGATCAGTTGCGTACTATCGAGCGCAATATGGAGGTTCCGCATACTGGTCCGCTTTGCGACATTCTGTGGTCTGATCCCGATGATGTTCCCCAGTGGACTGTTAGTCCTCGTGGTGCGGGGTACTTGTTCGGAGCCAAGGTTACCCAAAAGTTTGTGGATCTCAATGGAATTCAAGTGATTTGCCGGGCGCATCAGTTAGTTCACGGGGGATACAAGGTTATGTTCGATAACCGTCTGAATCTAACAATCAGCTTATGGGGAACAGAAAGTAATCTCAATCAGAGTGAGAAATATGAAAGCTTTCCAACTTTACAGAATGTTTTGAACGTGCAGTAACCATGATAAATTGTGTGATGGGGTGACGTCAAGATATTTTACCATTCTTGATTTCGGTAGGGGTTGTTGATTTTCAGAGAGGACAGGGAACCTATCTGTAAGGGCTGAATTTGGTACATCGGCCAAGAGGGAAAACACAATATCCTGACATATAGAAATGTTCAATGAGAGGGAACGGGACAAGGACCAAGTGAAAACGTCGTTCAGCTTGCTTTGAATTTCTGAAGCCCGTTCAGGGGTGTATGCTTTGCAACCTATAACAACTTCATCAGCGTTTTTAGAGCTAATGAATGAATATATGTACCAGATCGACCTCAGAAAAATAGTCTTGCCATGAAGTGATGCCATATTGTCGTGTATATGTGGGATGGGATAACTATCGAAACGAGTCACTGCGTTAAGTGACCGATTGTGTATATGCGGGATGGGATAACTATCGAAACGAGTCACTGCGTTAAGTGACCGATAGTCACACATGGTCTGCAGCTAATGCTGTGCTTTTTAAGAACTATCTGTAGAGAAGAGGCCCATGGACTATGAGAATGACGTACGATACCTTTTGAAAGTAACGCGTCAAACTCACTCTTAGCAAAAGCTACTTTATCCGGCGCCAGTTGGCGAGATCGCTCCGTGATTGGTGGACCCTTGGTGACTATGTAGTGTGCAACACGATCAGTCAATAGTGTCATATCCTCGATAGATTGAGTCAACCTGGGGAATCGGGTGATCAATGTCTGGAAATACGCAGGGATATCAGCATTACATCCGTGATTCGGTAAACGTCTGTTCGGGGTTTGAGATCCGTGATTTTGACATTCAACTCTGGGTTGATCAACTGCAGCCTACGTTAAGCGACAAGCAATTCGTAGTACTGCAAGAAATCGACACCCAGTGTTCCATTGGGAACATTTGCAAAAATGAACGTCCATGGATACCGTCACTGCCCTCCCATTTTGATCATGAGTTTTCTTGTTCCAAAGGTATGAATAGGAGTACCATTAGCAGCGCATAGCCGAAGCGTCGTAGCTCATGGCTTGCTGCTACCGACAGGAAAGATGAAACTTGGGCTCCTGTATCTACGAGGAACCTAGCGTTCGTGTGATCGTCACGTACGAAAAACAGACGGCCAATCTGGGAAGGCGGGCCGGAGAGCATCGCCGCTTTTACTCACCGGGTTATCCTTTCCCCGTCGCGTAGGTGCAGGGCTTCCTGCAACTGCGTGCGACGTTGCTCAGCCCATCCTGGGTTCTAAATTGGTGAACCCAACGTGACTTCTATTAAGTCGTTTTCTTTCAGCACGCAACGGGCTGAAAGTTTTCAGTGAGTCTGGTACTCCCGCACAACAATCTTTTTTTATTTTTTGTATTTCGCAAATACTTATACTGTTTGTTTTCATTTTTTAACGGTTTTTCTATATCTGTTCAACTTTTTTTTACCGTTAAGCCAATTTTTGCTTACCAAATCCCGCATATTCAGATATTTGCACTTCCTAGCTACTTACATCGTTAGATACTTATTTTACTCATTAGTTCTACTCCACCAGAACGCTAAGGTCTACTATTTTCCGGGCATCTTTCTCCCAATTTCATTATTCATTTTTTCCCTTATCCATAATGTTTAATCAATTTTCCGAGGCTAAAGAGAACGGCGCTATCGCTGCGGCAGACGAAACGAACTTATTGGGCCTACAATTCCGTTGTAGTAACATTATTTTCCCTTTCCAACGCGATTCCCCGGATTCATGTAAAGAACCTATTTTGTTTTATTATCCTCGGGTTTGAGAACTGGTATGACCTCGATTTTGGCACAATTTCCGGTGAGTTGTATCGTGCGCTTGGCTCTCTCTCTCTCTTTCCGCTGCAGGTCACATTATACTACGTACGCTCGTACCCGACTTCCTTCTCAATTTGCGCTTGCTCTGGGAATCGTTCGATTGATTGGATTCGTAGACGCGTGCCGACTTCGGCCCTACTTAGTGTGCTAAACCGTATACCCGAATTTATACCTGAGGACCCAGAGTTTTGGCTGACCCAGGTCGAGGCCCAGTTTAAGTTGGCGAGGGTCACCAACCAGTTAGGTAAGTTTACTCACTTAGTATGTCACCTTCCAAGGTCTTTGACCCCGGGTCTACGCAACATTGTATTTAACCCACCACCAGACCGACCGTATGATGCCCTCCGCGATGCGATTCTGAGCATATTTGGTATGCCCGTAGAATGCCGCCTCAAACAACTTCTAGGCGACCTGCGTCTAGGCGACAACGGCCTCGATACACCCACGAAACCACTAAGCTACATGCAGGATCAGGCCGCAAGCCTTCACAGCCAGCGCAACCACCACCCTCCTCGGACAACGCTGAACAAGTAGCTCGTGTTAAAGCGTTTGTAGCATAGTTTCAAGCGTTGACACTGTCTGGCGAACGGCCACGACAACGCCGTCGATCACATTTTAACCACGGGAGCCTTAGTCCGAGGCACCCACGATCACGAATGGGGATTGCTGGCATCACCGCCGTTACGGTGACGCCGCGAAAAGGTGCTTACACCTTGCACCTACACCCCCAAATCGGGAAACCGATAAGCCGATAAGTTATCATTAAAAAGCAATGAGCACAATTGGNTTCATTTTTTGTTTCCTCCAAAAACACCCTATTTTCGGAGTCTGATTTACAGGATCATTTATTTAGTTTGTGGCAGGACTGATAAGTAGCTTGATTTTCTTTTGGTGTTCGCTTGGTGGTAACTGTTACTGTGTAGAAATTCATAATTGTTCATTTTCGTCGGACAGTGAGTGCTTCTTGTGACACATTAAGTTATAATTGGTATTTTTTATTTTTAAGTATTTTGAGAATTGCTTCAGTCATCATACATGAAATACCTAATTTTATTTAGCATCATAAAATGTCATCCTCTTCTCAATGTGAATTTTATCGCATTAGAAAATAACGAATATAAGTGAATAAGTAACCTGTTTGTGTTGAGATCAGCCTTTATCAACATGGAATGAAGTGTTCAAGACTAATTTACAAGTAAGTTTGATCACATTAAAATTTAGTCTGTCTCGTTAGACGAATAATTACCAACGGTGGAGGATAGCAAATAGTCCAAGAAGTTTATCTCTACGATTACCTGGAAATGTCTAAGCAAAACTAGATTCCATGGAATATCCACAACGAAAAGTAAGTTTAGAATACTTCATTTAATTCATTTTAACTTTTGAGTTTGGAGCGATTTAAAATATTTTCCGCGGCTTCACCATAATGATCCAAGAACATTGACGAGCACGCCAAGAAATTGCGCACGGGATTGGATTGGACGCAGTGTTCCCGTTTACATCGGACTGGTTTCACTTTTGATTTAAGTTAATTATGATACGATTTGCATTACTTCGATGGATGCCGTCAGGAATAAAAAAGGATTTGGACACGTTGCCATCGCCTCTCTAAAACGTGAAGTGCGAGGATGTTTGAAAAAAACAGCAGACCTGATAAACACCAAAATAACATCAGAAAACCAGTAATTGCAAACATTTAAAATACTTTTCACATTCACTACATTTTGTCCGAAAACATATCGCCATTTTTCAAGCCTAGTGTTTGAATGATTCCTTCTGAGTACAGTAAGAGTAAACATAAATTTAGGGCTATTCGCATGACATTAGTTTAACAAATGCGCCCTATGAACTGCAGAAAGTATGTATGAATGCACTGGGAAATGTAAGAAACTTATGAAATCATCACTTCGCAGGAGATTCGAGACGAAAAAAGGCGAAAATCTAAAATGGTGTTTTAACTAGTGGCTGTTTGTAGGACTCGATTGGTCGACTGATGAACTATGTATACGCTACAATTTTGATGCCTTATCTCATTTCTAGCTGGCTATTGGTGCACTGTTAGCTGATGACTCTGAACAATGTCCATTTTCAAGTGTCATCTCTTGTCATAAGTCTTTTTCCCTCCTCAGGCCAATAAGTTTTGCTGTTTTGCGAAACTGTGATCAAAATATATAGTTTGCCTCAGATTCTCGGGAGCGAGGATTCTGCAATATTCTCTGTGATATGGCCCCTCGTTTTGAATATCTATTCGTGACACGAACTGTCAAAATTCTTTGCAGTCCTCACAACACCTGAGTCTGGGTCGGTTATGTACCCCAGCCCCAAAGAATGTAATGGTATCCGTTTTTACGTCATAAATTTTCATAGGTTGTTCCACCGTAACCATCGCTTTAGGTAACGAGTGGTTGTTGGTTGAACCAGGTGTAATTCGTAAAATTTTATCAAAGTAATAAAATCTGCCGGAACAAAGTTCATGCAAGTATTGATCAAACTCTAGCTACACTATGACTTTTCCCAAATCTCTTTATTTCATTGGTTACCGTTTTTCTGAGGTGCATACAGGAAATGTGTATAATACGATTTCACATCACGCGCAACAATCCCATAGCAATATCCCTTTACATAGTTGCTCCTATTACTTCGAACGTCTTGTAAACTTACGGTTGACCAACCTCATTAAAAAATTACCATTCATTAAAAAGAAGGGACCGCCAGGCAACCACACATTTTCTTATTTTGAGGTGTAAGGTTCAGCCACGAATTTTTTTCTTATACGGAAGGACTCACCAATTCAAATAGTGATACTGTAACAGAACAGTTGCAATGCGAGCATACTTCAGGCTCTCACAGCGCAGCGGAGCAAACAGAATTGCGCGACAGGATGTCCCTCGGCTAGTATTCTAGCAGCTCAAGGGGATACAAGGCTTTGCGGTTGGCGGACGACTGCGGGACAGCGATCGTAGGGCGGTGATACACTTGGGATAGGGGACAGTGAGGAAACACAAGCAAAGGGGTCCTCCGTGGTTTGGGGTTCAAGATAAACCTACAACGCAAAACAAATAAAACGCCATGAACCAAAAGTTCCGGTGAGATACAAGCACTTACGATAAAATATTACTGGTTTTGTTGCCAAGAGTTGCACAGGAACCACAACGTGGACTTTCAAATTGGCGCTCACTCCGTTTCTGTCACATTCCAGGTCACGCGGACGAGACTGAAGGGTTTCCTTTTGGGAGACAACTTTTTAATCCGTTATACTTTTATCCCTACTTTTGAATCCGCGTTTTAACAAACTGAACCGTGAACTCTCTCTCTCTACCTTCTATCTATGTGCACTGAATCCATGTGATTGTCTTCATGTATCTCGTGTATTGACTGTGTAACTTCGCTACGATTGGAACACCACCCTCCGAGGTTTGGTCGTAAATTTTCTTCATCAAGGATTTGTTTTAGTGAGCTGTATTAATAATTGAATGTGGTTTTGTCCCCATTTGAAGGAAATAATTGCCTGATTTTAGCTTTCCCGAAGCAAGTCCCTTCATTGTTAAATTAGCTAATTCACAGTTCGATCTCTATGACAGGACTAACTCATTGCAAAAGAATTAAAGAACATTACTATGGGGGATAAAACTCTTGAAATTACTCTTTACGCAGGGCTATCAGTATGCAAATAGAATTTTAGAAACCGAAATGTATTCCTAAATTGAGATTCATGTTACACGAATTCGGTCAAAATCTGTAGATACTTGAACAGATCGCTTGTGTTGTGTCACGATAACCATCACTTGTACATTACATTTGGGTTCTGCTTTCTCAGTTATAAACCCTTGGTCCTGAAGCATCTATGGTGAGAGCAAACACACTTAGATACGGACTGATGTGCTCGTGATCAGTTCTTTTTCCTGTCGCCTTGGTTTTACAACGGAAATATCTAGGTAGATGAATTCCTATGCGTAAGAGTTACCATTATCTGTTTTCTGCATGCACATCTAGTATGGGTGATTTCACCTAATGGTTGAGTGTACCATTCATTCCTACACTATTTTACTTGTTCTAGCATAATTATCATCAGGGTCGTTCTCATACTGATTTTGCCTCTTGAGCTACAATTCAAGCAATTTTCCATGTGAATACTAGCTGCAAAGAGACCTGTACGCTTTACCAGATGCTTACGTTTTTTCAAAACCATTCTTCACACGGTACATCTTTCCAGTTTTCGAATACTCTTCAGTACAATTAAATAAATAAAGAGTTGCTTCCATGAAACCATTTTATTGCTCCCCAGAATAACTGTATAGTCGTTCCCAAATAGTGATTGTTGAACTATACTGCAGGAACGTTAAAAACAGGTTGCACTGCATTTTTTCTCATCTAAAACTCAGTCCAATTAGTGTTTCAGCTAGGATTATTGATAGAGTAACCAGTGGTCTGTGTTGCATCACCTTATTGGTGTACGTTTTCTTTCGAAATCACCTCAAATTTATGAATCTCCGTTCGCGAACCCAGTTGGTTTTCGATTGTAAATTGGAAGAGGGGAGTTGTTGTCCGAATGCTCTTTATCATGTAACAAGCAGTAAATAAAAAGAGTATTCGTCTCCGGTTTCTCAGAGACATCTTCGTAAAGCACTGAGTACAGGCGTGTTTTTTCGACTACTGGTGCAATTTGTTGAGATAAACTGGATAAAATTTCAGAAAAGGTTGGAAATAAAGTGGTTCATGTCCCGTTCATTACCATTTTGCTCGCGTCGATATAGTTGCATGCTATCAAATTAGCCATACAAATGTGATTTGTTTCAGGTGATATGGTAACCAAATGCTCACTGATAGTGGCTACAATCTAATTTGTATTGAAAAATATCCCCAACAACTATTCTCACAACAGGATTGACTAACGTGCTATCCGCTGTTATTCATCTATTCTCTCCCTCCCAGTTTTCAATGACTCCACAATTACGCGACAATCCTTTTGCGTCAATCCGATCTTTGTTCAGGAGATTTGGCGGGTTCTTGTGACAGTTAAACAAGATTAGGGGTACATGTTCGCTAATTTATGTAACATTTCTGGTTCACGCACAAACGCCATGATTTCCGATTTCTGGGGAACAACACATAGTTTCATCGTTCATTGGTACGTTCACCCTTGCGGAAAACACACCGTAGCACAAACATTTATTCCCTCTAACTTAAGTGGACCATTCTAAACCCCAGTTGACTCTTTAACTTCAAAAGATGTTCATAAAATTCACGGATACACTTTTTAATTGATAGTATACATTCAGTGATCCTAAGATCGTCATTACCTAAAGGACGTGCACATACAGCGTTCATTTGATGCGTTCTGAAACTCTCTGTAACTGCAGAAGTACAAACGAAATGTCTATACATGCACGTCAAGTTTGGCTTTTCCCATTCACTCACTTACTGCTCCAAGCTATTAAAATAGAAATGTCACCATGATATAAGTATATGGCGAAATGCGACTAAAAATCAGTTTTTTACGAAGACCTCATACTCATTACTCTGACTGATGGGTGAGTTTATTTCCCCATAATATGTGGCTATTGGAACGAACGCTGACAAAGGTCAGCAAAACAACGGTCAAACAAATCCGCGCACACAACGAGACAAGTTTCCATAATCACCGGCAACACAAAACACATTGTTCGACAACCGTCTGCTCTGATTTGACAAGTCTTCCGACAGTATCTGGTAGCATTACAACACACTAATAGGGCAATTATTGACACACAGACGACAAGTTTCTGCAATGGAAAAGAAGCAAAAGGAGCATAAGATAACTAGGCATTTTGTATTTGAATTGGTGGTCAAGTAACACTTTAAAAATGTCTTTGAATGCGCGCATGCACATATGCATACGCCACAGACTACTATTACTCCCATTTATACGATAATTAACAATCAACTCATACCAATTGATTCATTTCGTTGTACGTTTCAGTAAGTGTATTACATTCCTTAATTCAGTGAATGGTCTATTCAATGTCCGGTTGTTATTTATCTACTAAAATGTAAGTCACAGCAGTTTTAAACAGGATACTGAACGTTTTCTTTATCAATGAACTGTCAGCCGACAGGTGATGTATTTGAAATCCAGATGAACGATGGCGTTGGGTCTTCATTTTGTGCTTTTTTTCATCCCATGCACTAGTAGCCCGCTAAAACCTCATTGCTGTTCCAAATAATTCTAACGTTCTTTGAAAGATAACAAATACGGAAAATCAAAATAGAGGTATAACCCACTGAGAGCATCAAAAGTAACGCAAAATGTTTTAATTTGTTTTACTGCATACTTTTTGATAACTTCGTGCTTTTTACCTTTCGGCAGATAGTCCGTACAGTATTCTTCTTACTGACGTCTATTCTGAGCTCTGTTTCTCAGCGTCATTGGCCAGGAACAATCCTCCTCCCTTGGCATTCAAGCTGAGAAGCAGAATAGAACCAATGAGGGACCAATTATGGAGCTAACTCCGTCAAGTGATGTGAGGGTCCTTCTTTCTATATCCAGCGCGTGCAATGAGAGCATGCAGAAGTGAATGATGGGGATATCTAAGCGTAATTGACCTATCGGATCAGTGAAGAGCGCCTTTTTCTTTCAGAGAACGTCTATTAGCACAAAAGTCACAACGACAATTCTCACCATTGATCATCCAATGTTCCCCCTGAAGACCTGCGATTCTCCGATGACATCGATGATCGAATAAGGAAAGTTGATTACCATTATCAGCGCACAGGGACCAGGTTTGGTAACCGTAAAGCGAAACCATGTGAGCCGCAACGATACAAACCCTTTCCCTAATATGGAATCAAATGTTATGAAACTGTCACTGATTGGCATTAGCTGCTCTAGCTTTTATGATTTACGATACCATTTCTTACCCAATACAACTTCCCGTTGCAGCGCAACTCCCGAAACTCTGGAATGATTTTAACTAAGAACCACAAAGAGTGAAGGCAGGCAAAGCTATCGTTCATTCTTGGGCAAGAAACGTCAATTAGAGTATGTGATGAATTATTCGTGTAAATGAGGCATCAGTTGAAAAGCTGAAAAGCTGTTTCTACCTGGCTGGGTCTCATCAGTCGTGCGAATTCACCAAACCATCGACCCATCGACATGTAAGGTACCAGGTTTGATCTCCATGTGTGTGGATGGATGAGCACTGCTGATGAGACCCAATCAGGTCAAAACAGCTGTCCAGTGCTCCCTAGCTTTTCAGCTCACGGCTCATTTATACGAAGAATTCATCATCCGAAAAATTCAAAACATTCGTTCCCTCATACAACAATCAGAAGTTGGATGGAGCAAATTACATAACCTTTCTGATCGATACACTGTGTTGTACTTTCTTTTACTATCACCCACC